TTTTTTACAGTTTATTTGTTAGAATTAGGATTCAAATAAGACCCATGTGCTGTGACTGATTGATCTGTTTCTTAAATTTGTCAGTTCGCATTTCCTTTGCACGGCAGCGCTTTTACAATGGAGGAAACAGGAGCTTAGGTTGGCTAAGTAGTTAAATAAATACTGGCAAACCAAGCATCCCCTTTAGGAGGGTGGAAGATGAGGGCATGTGGGAGAGGTGAAGGCACAGGGTCTTCGTTTAAAGGACACCTCTTTTCCACAGATTCTTAGGCCAATCACACGATGACAGGTGTGGGACTTGGCCCAGACTTCCCATGCCAGATCCTGCCCCAGGTCTCCAATTCCCCGCCCCCCTTCTTATGCACAGCCTATCTTGTGTCTCCCCAAATTCACATGCTGGAATGTGATGCCCAATATGGTGATGTTAGGAGGTAAGATCTTTGGAGGTATTTAGATAGGGAGAGCGATGACCTCCTGCTCGGGCTACTGCCCTGATAAACTAGGAGCAGTTCATCTTCCACCATGTGAGGTCACAGCAAAAAGTCTCAAGGCAGAAGCAGGCCCTCCCCACAATGAGCCTGCCTGCACCCTGACCTTGCACTTCCAGTCTCCAGAAGTATGACAATAAAATATCTGTTGTTTATAAACCACCCAATCTGGGATAGCTATCATGCTGCCCAAACAGACAAAGACACCATCCAACAAGCAAATGGACCCTCCTCCTCCTCAAAAGGCAATCTGACTTCTCAAACATAATCTGACTCTCTTGTCACACAGCCTTCTAGGTCCGTTGGAAAGCACACCCCCGACACTAGCACATCTACCCCATTGAGACTCTGGTGGATCTTCTCAGATCAGGGAAGAATGACAACCTACCCCGTGTCTACAGAGCCCATGGGGAAGTCCAGAGCTGAGGCTGGGCCAGAGCTAGGTTGAATGGTCCCCCTCCCTTCCTTCTTCCTTCTTCCTTCCCGCCCTCCCCTCCCCATAAGTACACAAAGAGGTGATAGAGAAGGGATTTTCTACAAGTCAAAAGAAGAGGCCTGCTTTCCAGCCTTCAGAGCTGGAAATCTCAGATCAGGGAAACATGACATTGTTTAAACTGTCTGGTCTGTGGTATTTTGTGATGTCAGCCGGAGCTCACTGGTATACCAGGTATCCCAAACCCAGAGTAATGTGGCGACTAGCTCAGGAAGGGAAGGCCCAGGGCCAGCACTAGAGGTCCGAGCCTCAGGCCAGCAGCCGTCAGAAACTCCAGGCCCAGCAGCAGCAGCAGCCTGACTGCATGCTTTCCTGATGCTGCTGCTGGCAAGCCGCCTGCAGGAGAGGGAATCAAGACAGGAGGGGCACATCAGGCCAGGGCTGGGGCCTCTTTCCATAGGCCAAGGATAAGGCATAGACAGCACTGCAGAGAACTTCAAAAAGGTGCTCCATGGGGAGGTTTAGCAAAAGCTACCAGGACTGAAAAAATCACCCCCTGGGGACCTCTTTGAGCTGGAAGTGGGAACAGGAAATAGCTAGATGCGATTCATCTTGGAAAAATGCAAGCTCATACATTGCATAAAGCTAATCCAAAACACAGAGTGAGAGAGCCACAGTGTAGAACGGAGGCAGACTTCAGCCTCGGGGTCTGAGCCGGTCCAGCTAGGAGGTCATCTGAGTGAGCTCTGTTGGAGGGGCTGGTTCTCAGTGTGGGGAGCAGGAGGCTGGAGATTTATGTGTCTTGGAACCCCAAGCCAGATTAACTGGAAATAGAACTGAGGCCTCCACTTCCCAGCAGCCTCCACAGTGGCCAGGGGGTCGATGAAGGGGAGGCGAGGCTCACACTACCCAACAATGCCTTGCCCAGTGGTGCCCAGCCTCTACTCAGTGGCCATTAAGGGTCTCCCTGCCCCCTCACAAAACCTTCTTGGGCTTGTGGAAGGCTCTGCTGTGATTGTAACCCGCCAAAAGCTATCACAGGTGGTGCCCCGGAGGGGGCTGCTGGTGAGGATAGTTAGCCCCAAGAAAAATGCTAAAAAGTATGACACTTTGGGGTGGAGCCACTGATAAGAAAAATAAGGGACTGCAGAAGCAGCTGCAGATTATTCAGTGTTTGGATTCAGCATTTTCTGATCCTCAGCGATTTCAGTGTCAGTGATTTTAGCCCCCACCATGCTGATCTTCCAGAAGGCTTTTTTGGGCTTCTAAAGTTAGGGGCCTCCAGCAGCCAACCTCAGAGAGGAAAAGTTCGGAGGCTTTGCAAGTGGCCGAACAACTGAAACTGTTCCCGGTTTTGTTGCTGTTACAGCCTGGTAAGGAAGGTGAAGACCCGGGCCCGAACCTCGCTGAGCGTGAGTGTGGTTGTTTGTGGGGTCATTTGGCCACTGCAGCTGCTGTTTTAAGCGTCGCTTGTCTGGTGCTGTGCTGTGGCAACTCGGCAGCGCCAGGAGCTTGTCCTGTGGGGTCTTCTGTTGTTTTCATGAGTTGGAACCTGGCGTGGAGTCTGGCTGCCTCATGCTCCAGGTCTGCAGCGGTAGAAAGATACCATCTTGGGCATGGGGCCTGCTGTTTGGGAGGGGAGCTCTGTGTCCTCACTGGGGGGAAGATGCCATCTTACTTGCTTTTTGTTTAGGTCTTGAAAACACTGGGCACTGCTTTGGGCGAGGTAAAGGCCATTTGTGGCCTCATTAACTCTTTGTTTTCCTTGGTTTGCTAAATAAAACCCTTTGTTGTTGTTCGATGAACTTGAGTAGTCTTTGCAGTTGTACCCACTGGTGAAGAACTTCGACAGTGACCAGTGAACTACTTGGGTAGTGTCCCTGGCCATATTTCGTGCCCCTTGCTGCCCAGTATCCTGATGAGTAATTAAAAGCTGCCTCTGTTTCCCCATGAGAGAACCCAGATGTCCTAGCCTGAGACAAAGGATGTGGTTTAGGAGTGTAAATTGAAGTAAGTCTTAATGATTGTTAGAGATTATATTAAGCAAGGTAGGATTCAAGCTCAGTAAAGAATTTGACAGTTTTCACTCTAAGAACTGGCTCAACAACCACCAGTTTATTTTATATAGTTAGGAAGTGAGTCACTGACATAAAAATGTAATTACTCTTGGGTGGTGGAGGGGAGCGTGGGGCCTTCTGCTTCTAAGTTATTTTGAAATAAAGATATTGATGTAACCTATACCCAGAGAATTCTGGGGGGTTTACTCTGGGGGGTTTATTCACTCCCCTGACATCTAAGGAAATGCACTGTGGAGAGAAAAGGTCTGGTACCTATGTTTAAATCTTTATCCGGCTCCTTGGTCATTTCTATGAGTTGGAAAAGATGGGTTACCCATAGGCAGTACACTTTTGCATGACTGCTTCACAGAACGGGGAGGAGCATCTTCTTACATCAAGTGTATGCACATAGCTTTGCTCCTCCTTTGCTAGACTAGTATTTTCACAAAGGGATAGAGAGCTCTAAGAGGTTTGGGGCAGAGCTCCTGAAGAGAGTGCAGAATGTCCAGGTACTTGAAGAAAGGCAGAGCCCACTGATGGGGAATAGACTCTTAACAGAAGCCTTGGGAGTTCACCCTCCTCTGCTGGCAGGTGGGGAAAGCACTTGGGGGAGAAAGGGCTTAACACTCAGACCCCTGCTCCCTGCAGTGTGAGTCCTGGTGGGGGAGGGGTCTGGGAGCTAGTGTTGGGGGCATCTGCCTCCCTCAGCCTGTGTACCAGTGCAGAACCTGCCCATAGGGAAGAGGAGGAGGGGAGACAGACACGGAGGAGGGGGATACCGTCACAGCTGGCCTGTCCCCTCTGTTATTCTGAGCAGGAGTTTTATACGGTTGTAACAAAAATATTCCAAAGACTGCCGCCTGAGAAGGGAGACCACAGGAACACTTATTGTCATTGTCAACACTCATTGTCAGGATGTCAACTTTCCCAGCCTGAACCAGATTCAACACTATTCCAATATTGCAAAAGAACCTGGTAAGTCAACGAGTGCATACATCGTCTGGTTGCCTCTTAAGACCATTTCTAGATTTCGCCTCCCTCCACCATCCCGGGCGCTTTTTGTTTCGTGTTTAGATTTGAATGTTGGACCCATTTGGATTTTTAAAATAATTATTTATGCATAAAAGAACTGGGGTACAGACCAGAGGTGCAGGGGATTCACCAGAGACAGAGTGGGGAGCAGAACAGGCAGATTAACTGAAATACACTGAGGGGCAGGCACACAGACAGGAGAAGTCTGCAGCAACAAGTGGGTCAGCTCCCTGGCTGGGGACCGCAATTGTGCTGTTGTGGCTGTGGACACCTTCATAGCACCTTAACCCCTTGCGCCATGAGGGAGTCCCCCCCATTTGGTTTTTATATTGGTATTAAGGAGTGAGGGAGGAAAACAATTTGTTTTCCCAAATGGCCGGCTAGTTGTTCCAGCGCTGTCAGGACACGACTCCCGCCCGGTTTCCGGGGCCCACCTCGGCTTCCGCCCGACGGAGGCAAGGACCCCAGACCGCCGCGCCCCCGGGTCGCTCCACCCCTGCCCCGCCCCGCAAGGACCAATCGGCCCCACCCCACCCTCTCGCCGTCCCCCTACTCAGGTCCTGGGGCGAAGCCGCGCCCCGCCTACTTCTGCGTCCGGGCCTCGCGGCCCCGCCCATCCCCCTGTAGCCCCGGGACGCCGCGGGCCCTCCCGCAAGAGCCGCTTTGCCGGAGGCGGCGCGTCCCCTCGTATTTGCATGGAGGCGGCGTCTCGGGGCCTGAAGCGGCCGCGAGCCCGCGGCGCCCGGA